GATGGGAGAAACAAAATGGACAGGAAAGAAGCGGGGAATCTCCGTTGGGAAAGCTCGCTTGTCCACGCCCTTTTGTTATTAAATTCGCGAAACTTTCTCCGTCGGTTGATTTTTTCTCAAATTCGAAAGTCCGCGAATGGCGAGGAGGTGGGGAAAAGATTCCTACTCATTCTCATTCTGGGTCAGCCATCGATGTCAGCATCGAGAGGACGGTGCACGGAATTCAATAAATCGAACGTCTTTCTCCACTGTCCGTTCGAATCATTTCGAGTTTTCAACCGATGCAAACACTCGCTGCGCGACGACAACTTTAATTTACTTCTTTGCAACGAGAGAGGGGAATATTTGCGGGTGAAAATTACGATAATAGGATGGACCGCTTTTCAAGAGAAGCGGGAAAACGGTAATTTACGGGTCGGGTCGCGATACGTGAGCTCGATTTCACGGAAAGATTAAAACTAATCTCGTTGGAATTCTTCCGTTCCATAGAAGAAAAAAGGAAGGAAAAACAGAGCGCAATTTAGCGAGTTGTCTGTCCCGAGGTTTATCGTCGCGACGTGTTACACGGCGTGTCGGGAATCGAGGAGAAAAAGTCGCCGAGCGAGTTGCTTTTATTGTCACGAACTCTCGCGGAGCCAAGCAGTCTCCAAACAGAGTTAACCGCGTCGTAACTTCCTTCCTGCCGTTTCAAACGCACTCGACCGCTGTCTGCTTTTTCCATTCATGAATCAAGCCGAGTCAAAGGTAAGCTCTACGAGTGTCACTCGCGGCTATTAAAGGGAACACTCTTCGATAACGTCGGCCTGTACAGTGTTCTCCGTCGTTTTACACACTTTCTTCGTTGTTTTTGGGAGAAGAGGCAAGGGTACGGTGGAATATTGCGGGAATCTTGGGTTGTCGATGGCTATTTAGAAAAGTTTGTAACAATAATTGATATATTTAAGAATTGAGGCTCGATGATAATGAGAATGTAACTCTGTAACACTCGTTCTCTCATCTCTCTGGTGGAAATTGCAACGCAGGGTATCTGCCGCAGTGAATGAGTTCTTGTATGAAAGAATTACGCGAATATTCCAATTGTTCGTCGTGTCAGATGATAATTTTGAAACAATTGTGCTTAATATAATATACAGTGGGGGACAAAAGTATTCATACACCGTATAAAACGGAACAACATTTTTAAAATTGAGCCAAACAACTCGAGTGTTTTTGAGAACTTCGAAAGATTAGTTTGCTAGATGACGTGTAGAAAAAATTTGGAAAAAACTGCAATTAGTCGGAAAATTTAAAAAATACGTTTTGTAGATCTATGTCAATTATACACACGCTGAAAATTTCATCGAAATCGGTGGATGGAGAAACAAGCGACAGGCATCGAAAGATGTAAGAATCTGCAGATTTATTACAGTTCTAGGCCGAAAGTCGTGAAACAGTGCGATTTTCACAATCTTTAACCGTTTGTAGCTCATAGCAACGTTAACTGATTTCGATGAAATTTTCAGCATGTGTATAATTGACATAGATCTACAAAACGTACTTTTTAAATTTTCCTCACGAGCTCAGATAAAAAATTTATAAAAACGACCTTCGCTATTTTCTTCGCGATTCCGACTAATTGCAGTTTCTTCCAAATTTTTTCTACACGTCATCTAGTAAACCAATTTTTCGAAGTTCTCAAAAAAAGCTCAAGTCGTTTGGCCCAATTTTAAAAATGTTATTCCGTTTTATAGAGTGTATGAATACTTTTGTCTTCCACTGTATGTAGTCGTTATAATTTTTCTTACGATCTTAATAATTTTGTAGTAATTTAAGTTACATTTCTTGCCATTTTTCAAACTGTTTAACCCATATGTCAATCACCACAATTATCCACTTTATCGTCCAATTTTAGTAATTTTCTGATAGGAAAATTCTGAACTCGAAGCAAACACGGATAAGAAATGTGTCAAATAACGATCTGGCCGGAATATTTTCATTGAGAAAATGTGCAAAAGGGTTAAATATCTCCAATCAATTATCCAACATTCCCACAATATCGTTCAGAAAGGGAAAGAAAATCTCCCGTTGATTCGACAAAAAAGGTAAAATCGTTTGCACCGTCATTGGAACTCGATGGACGTTTTTGTTACACGCAACATCAATTACTAGCGTCAATTACTCGTTGTTGATATTGTCGGCGATACACGCTGCATTCGGGAGGATGCCAAATGTCAGATCTACCGTCAAGGCTTTCGATCGGTTCCTGTCACCGCGAGACGAGACACGATTACCTTGAACAGCGTGAAAACACGTTTCTGGCTGGTTTCTGTGAGCGGTACCATCGATAAACTCCGTTCGCTGATACGCCAGGCGGGACGTGTCTCCTAGTTTACAGTCGCGAAACAGGGAATGCCTGCCACTTCGTGATCGTTACCGGATCCCTCCACATTTTTCGCTCCAATTCTCCACCCTTAGTTTATCCTCGTTTTGCAAACCCACTCTAGACCTCGTTGCCTCTTTGTCACCTGGCTTTGGTAATACGGTACAAGGTGAGTAAACGAAATCCTTCGGGACGCTGCAATAAGAATGTCTCCTTTGTTCGCGAGAAAACATAATTTCAACCTTCTTTTCCTCTAACTTTTACCCCAGCTACGTCCTATTGCCCCTTCTGTGTCGCGGCGAACTGTCCATCGTTACGTGCGTCGTGCCACCTGTGGCTACTGGGTTAGCTGCAACGTTGAATAGCGATTCGCAGAATCGGTTTCACCTGATTGCATACGATTTTCTTGCATGTCACGTGGTATTTTGAAAATTTCTTCTGGCTTCACAAGATTCCTAGGTTTCGAGGAAATTGTGGGATGTGATAAGCGTATTTTGAGAATTTCTACAGATTCTCTTGTTTCTATAAGATTCGTAGAATTTCGTGGAAATTGTAGGATGTCAGATAAGCGTGTTTGGATCGAGTAAAAGAGTTTTTGGCCCGAGTGATAGTTGGATCGACTGAGATGCGAGTAAAGAGTGTTTTAGGCAGAGATGCACGATGCACGAAAATCGGCACGCGGCGAGAGTATGTGAATGCGTAGGGTACTATGCAGAGGTGAGAAGTTTGCTAGCGTAAGGATTGCGGGTCTGATCGGGTCACATCCTCATCGGCTTACCTTTTTTAACACAATCCTGAAAATGGGGCACGTGTATTTTCGCGCACGCGACGAATCGGCTAAAATTGTCCCTGTGCCATCTCTGCATAGTACGAATCCCTGACTAAGCGTGATTATATACAAAGGAATATGAAACACCAGCGCGATCTAAAAAAAAGGGCAGCTTAAAAAAACGAATCTCGAAAACGCTTCGTCTTTCTGTATCACAATAAAAACCGTATATTCCCAGCAAAAAAAAAGAAAAATCACCACGCAAATTACATCCCTACAAAATCACTCTTTTCCTTTTCCCTCGAATTCAGTAGAACCACGCGTTCCACAACCATTTTCGTTTAAAAAAACCGAAGGAGCAATTAACCGGTTCATTGGCTAACACGATGGGAAATGTTTGCAGACGAGGCAGAGCAGCGGGACGGTAGGGAACAGCGAGGAACAAGAAGGGACGGCCAGCAGCTGTTCCCCAAGGACGTCGACAGCAACGACGATAACGATGACGATGACGGCCACACCGACAACGCCGACGTCGACGATGACTGTCACGTCAATGGCGTTGCCGTTTGTGCCCGCGGAATCAGAAGCGTCGTTATCGTCCACCACGACGGACCAGCAATACCGGGAACGGCTACAGGATCAGTCCCAAGCGACGACTTGCCCGATCGTAGCAACGTCGTCCACCACGTTCTCATCAGCTTCGTCGTCCGCAGAGACCGGCAAGTTGTCGGCGAACGTACTCTTCTCGTTGCCCGCGTCGCCGAAAAGACCACCTCCTGCCTCGTCCAGTAAGACACCTTCTATATCCAAGTCCCAGATGAAAGGTGAGTCTGATTGAAAAACGGTCAAAGAGGAATGTGAATGAGATTCTATGGAACTTCTTTATTGACACGTTCGTTACGATTGCTCCGTTTCCTTACATTCTTAATATCCACGCTTTTATCAGTTTTACAATAATGCATGCCTGTATTAAATACGTAAACCGAGCATTTTCTGTTACGTATCGCACGGAGATAACGGCGATCTATCGCGAGAATTGGCGCGTCACAACGTATGTGACGCTGGTAAACGGACGTGTCAAGTGATTTTTAACGTCTTTATGAGTAAAGCAGGAGACGTGGTGGGGGTGAGTGAGACAAAGTGGCGAAAAGGATTTCTTAGGCATTATCAAAGGTATGGGTTACTTGTCCATTCACTCCAATGCGAATCTACTAATTTGCGTGCGTTTGATAAGTGTGGAATTAACGTTGTAGGGCTCAGTAACAATTTGGATTAGTAACAATTATAATAATTAGTCATATAACAATTTAGTTATCAAAATTTAGGTAGATTAGTGTTAAAAAGATTCGTTGAATATTTCTTAAAATTGTCAATCTCGTTCTACAAAATTCTTGCTTAGATTGTAATACACAGTGGTTGTCCCTCTCTAAATATATCTCGCAATAAATTCTCACGTACTCTCAGATATCAATAGCAACGCGCTTCACCTGTTTTACACCCAGTTACCCTGTATGATCCGCTCGTTTACCAAATCTCGAGAGCATTCGATATATTCACTACATTCACGCCATCACTCACATCTTATCATTAAACCAATTCCACAGTGGTTCAAAAATTTGATCTAATCTCGTTAGAGTACAACGAACGAAGAGTAAAATACGGAAGGAAACTCGTTTAATTCAGCGCAGACAGTTAAATTGGGCACATAAAAATTAACCTAAGCCAAGAACACCCCACGAACTCATTCGATATATTCACTACATTCACGCCATCACTCACATCTTATTATTAAACCAATTCCACAGTGGTTCAAAAATTTGATCTAATCTCGTTAGAGTATAATGAACGAAGAGTAAAATACAGAAGGAAACTCGTTTAATTCAGCGCAGACAGTTAAATTGGGCACATAAAAATTAACCTAAGCCAAGAACACCCCACGAACCCATTAATCACGCGATTCTGCGTGTTTTTTGTATATCTTCAAGTTCAGTAATCCCATAACGAGCTTCACGATACGCAATTCTGTATGCAAAGAGTCAGAAAAATCTCTCTTAAACTCTTCCCAGCGAGCGATGCAAATTTATCGCAGATTCGGTTAGAAGATAGAACTGTATTCTTACTCGAGTACAGAATAAATTGCTCCATGTCGAAAACAGAAAGCAGCGTGCATTTTGGATTACTTCACGAGCTTTAGAAAGAAGATAATCTCGATTCTCCCTGCTAGAGTTACATCAAAAGAACTTTTCGTCCGAATTAGTCGTCCAAACGAACATAAGTTGTAGCATCGTTCTACTCGAGTTTCAAACGTAAAATATAATACTGTTTCAGCTCTAATTTAACGCGACGTGCTTTAAAAATATTCAGTTCGTTCTTATTCAGATGGCAGAGGAAGTATCGTATATTCTTCGCCAAGTAACTTCTCAGAATATTTAATCGAACGTGAAATAAATATGAATCACTGGTCTACATTGTGGACACAGTTGAACTGTGTAACGAAATTTATTACTTTAATAATCCTGCTGGAACTTCTTTAACCACATTCACAGGAATACATTCTTTTGTGCAGGATATCATTCTTTTCAGAGTATCCGCAATTTTTTCAAATAATTCACCGTGATTAGTCAAAGCTAAAATTCATCTTGTTACATCTGTTGTATTCCGCGGCTCGTGATTCCTCGCGTTGGTTTATTATTTTCAATAGGTACGCGGTAGGAGAGCCTGACGGAAACTGGGGCTAAATAAGGATGCTATTCTGCGCGTAGTACTATTCGACTTTATTAGACAGTTCGGTGACGTTCGGCACGTGAAGACCACTAGACAAAAATCTGCTGTTTCGACGGAAAAGGTAAGTACGAGAGTAGGGGTTGGTCTCAGAGGTGAATGTAGGGAGAGGCGGTGAGGTCTAGGTTCAGCGATGAGTAAAGGATGATGTGGAGGTCTAGGTTTCGGGGTGACTAACGTTAGGATGATGCGGATTTGTTTACAGTTAAGGAAAGGAGGCAGGACGACTAAAAACTAATGAAAGATAGGAGAGAGGTATACGACACATCTACTTAGAACTGCATCGCCCAATTCGAGAAACTCAGAACCACCTACGACGTTACGGATCAATTAGGCTGCTTGTGTGTCACGTTCCAAATAGTACACCATTGTACCTTATATCTCCACGACCTATTATAATCACGTCAATTATCGTGACGTTTTCACGCAATAATCTACATCTCCCTGTCCTTTGTACAATCTCCAAGATAAACCCGATTAATCGTTAATTACAACAATTTTGCAAGAGAACATCCCTAAATGATAATTTTCCGAGAAACGTGCTTCCACGATTCACCAAAGTTAGAAACGATCGAACAGCGTTGTACTCGAACGTTGCAGCCCATTACACAGCTCCGTGAAAACAACGAACAAACCTCGAATACGTCCAAAGTGGCTCCACGTTCAGTTTCCTGCGGTCGACACGCGTAAACTCGCAGGTCGGAGAAACGGGTGCCGGGTGGTTAAATTTCTAATTAACAAGAGATTTAGCGGCAATCGCTTTTTTGACGTGCACGTCACGCGCAAACGGAAGTACAGTTTCCGGTGACGTTTTTTCGCCCCAAATTTCTAACTCGACCCAGGGCGCCGTCGCATTTCCGTTCGTTTGTTTTTGACAGTCAGATCGTCGATGTTTAAGCTCGACTCTTTCCGCCCGTACGGTCTCCACGTATGTACATTTCCCTGGAACGACGAAAAATAAAAAAAACGGCAGAATAAACGAAAAATAAAAAGGACTGGAAGTTAACGATCGATCATTCGACGAAAATATGAAGTGTGCGCAGCTTTTACAACTGTTAGAAGGGTGCTCTTTACACGGGTTAAATTGCCGGACGTGAAATGGAGGAGAGGAGTAGATACGGGGCAAAAGGACGTTGCAAACGGAATTCGAATCAAAGAAATATCCTGTCTATCGTCGTTTGTGTTCGACCATTTTACCTGCGAAAGAGGCACACGCTCGCGCCAACGCTGACTTAAGCTACTCCCGTTTCGCTCGATCTTTTTCAGAGGAGGTCGGACTTTATATCGATGTACTTCACTCTATACGCGAGCAGTTTTCACGGTGGAAAACGGTATACATCCGATGGAAGATCGCGTTAGCTTCCACGGGGTATCGTTGATTAATGGGCTTTTCGTGAAAACCGCCCTACGGTACACCCTGAGAGAAATTACCCGCGTTACTTCTTCCGAAAGACGAACGACGGAAGTTTATCGGCGATCTACGTTTCAGGTAAACAAGAAGACGGGTGCACCCGGTGAACTAATGGTTTAATCCTCCACTTAACTTCTTCTTAACTTATTCCGCGATATGAATACCGAGAGGTAGTTGGAAGTTTCTCAGAACAGTTTCATTTGGAAAATATCTCCTATTGAAGTAACAACGGTAATTAAAACACGTTGACTGCGACGTTGGTTACTTGTGACCGGAGATTGTTTCTTTTATGGGGCCACGGTGGTTGTTGGGTTATTCCTGAAGAGGCTAAATAAAATGTATCGCCTGAGAAGAAAAGTGTTTCAATGTTTTTTCTAAACAAAGACACTAGGAGGACAACTGGACGTGTCTGGAGTTCGTCTTAGAGTCGAGACACTCTACATAAACAATAGCATAAACAGTTCGTAGGTATAAGTGGACCCTAGATTTCTCTTTTTGGGTGTCCTGAGACAGTTTCTAAGAGATATTCGTATAGAAAAGACCCCATACGTTGAGCCCATACGTCGTAAAAGATCCCCCATATTTGTACTGTCCAGACAACGACATAGGATTATGTATTCCTTGTTTTAAAATATACCACACGAGGAGTACATATCAATCAATGTACATATCATCAAACAAGTTTTATAACAAAATATATGCAATTTTATTGCCGAACGTCATCTTCTTAATCCACAGTGAAAGGGTTAACGAAAGTAAATTTAATATAAAAAAGGAAACTTTTATTTCAATTGTCCATTTTCAATAGTGGCTATCGGTGACCGGTGTGCTTCAAATGTTTAGAATAATTCAAATGAAATAAATATCGTCGACTAAAAATTTCGAACGTCATAGCTAACTAGACATTATTTTGAAGTAAAAAAAAAATAATAATTTTATTAATGTTCGCTGTACTCAGCTGTTGCAATTGGTAAATTTTTATACGCCAATGAGACCGCTTAGACCTGCTCAACCTTTCTTGCCTCAAAGATACTCGTCAAACTTTTCGAACACGGACCAAATACGGTATATTCTCCACAAGTGTCAGACCGCAAGGAAGCTAAACCTGACACTTGTAGAGTCAGGGACTACGTTTTCGAGCCTCGCGCCCGCCTTTGTAGTTTGCCGAATGTAGACAAGGACAGCGAATAAAAGATAAGCATGAAACGTGAGTCGAGGCAACCAAGCGATTTAAATATCAACTTTTTTAATTTTGTTTTTTTATCTCGAAATTTTTCTTAAAATATTGAGATTTTTCTGGTGAAAATGACATAAAACACGACATAATTTGAACAACATTTACTTATTAATACTTATTGAGTAATTAATTTAACGTCGGCCTACATCCACGTAAAAAAAAAAAAAAATGTAGGGTCGATTCCACAAGTGTCAGTAAAATGTAGGGTCGATAGCAGCAGAAAAGCTGTTAAACAATTAGAATTAAATGTAACGACAGAAATTATTGCAATAATGCGTAATGAAAAATTGAAAGAATCAGAAGAAAAAACGCGAATTCCTATCTTTTTCGATTCTAGAACATAAGAAAATTTGAATAAAATACACGGCGAGAATTGGGGAGAAGCATAAGTTAAACGCGTAAAAATATTCAATAATAAACGAACTAGGGATGAAGCAATTATTTCAATACGCGATGCACTGACTCTAGTATTTACTAAAATTCAAAAATTCTCGTATAAATTCCGAAAATAGATTACTGACTCTTGTAGAGAATTTACTGTACTTTTTATTTCATGGTTTCATTTAATTTCATTTGTACACCGAATTTGTAAAACTGCGAACCGGTACGCAGAACATTGAAACTTTTTCAAATGTTTTTTCACCGATTGACAGAGTTTTGTAAGTTTCTCATTTTGAATTCGCGTCCGTTAGTATTTACGTTTTAACTATTTGTGTGCAATCTAATGGAAAGTTTTCTCGTATAAATAAAAAAAAAAAAATAAATAACGAAGCATGATACAATATGCTTAGAATAATGAAAATTTTCTCGTGGCCCTCCGAGAGCAAAACATGCAAATCTGGCATGGCAGACGACGTGTTAATATCTTCGTATAAACAGGAATTCCATTCGAGACGAAAATAGTCGATGAAATCTCCATTACCTATATTCTGATCTCGAAGTTATCCTTAAACCGCTAACGAATCCATTTCCTCGTCATTTCGGCAGAGAATGAAAAAAATCGCGAAACCGCAAACCCGTAACCGGGTTAAGCAGAATCTATTTGTCGACGCTCCTTTCTGCCCGCTTTTTCTTTGTCGTTACCCATTAGCGCAAAATCGCTCGCGTTCTCCACCTCTCGCCCCATCTCTCTCGTTCTCTCGCTTTCGCTCGATCTACCAGTGGTTCGAGTACAATAGCGCGTGGATACGCCGATGTAGAATGTGCTTATAGGAAAACCATAGCCGCCGGTACGTACAAAATCAATGGGCCGTGAAACGAGGCTATTAAACGGTCGAGTCAAGCACCGACGATCCAAGTCGAACCGAGGCTGCCTGTCCCTCCTCATCGTGCCCGCCGCGGGCATCAAACATCACGGAATGTTATCGACCGGACCGTTTAATCAGCTCCAACTACCTCACCTTGTAACCCTTCATCTCGAAAAAAGAGAAACGATCCGACACCGCTGCGTTTCACCATTCTTCTTCCAATTTTCGTCTTCGTCAATTCCCATTCACCGCGTGACGGAACGTTTGATTTAGACGCTGTTCGTGTAATTAGCTGCTGGACCACTCGTGTATCAATTGCTTTTCATCCTTTCCCTCCACGTGCATCGGTCGATTACAGAAAAATTCTTGGAGAATATTCCACGGAGAGGAAATTTGAAGCGTAATCCTGGAGCAAAAGGTAATTAACGTATCGCCCCATTGCGATTGTATTCCGTTGGCGACGCATTAAGACCGGAAGGAAACTCGCGAGCACCACTGTGCGCCACGCTTCTTAAGCATGTTTTGCAATGCTCGCTTTCAACTTTCACCTCGCTCTGATATAGAACCACATTTGCCTGGCTATTATACGGTAGTAGAGAAAATGGGAGTGATTTCGAATCGCGAGGTGAATCTGGGTTATTGAATGCGGCTGCTGTGTACTAAGGCAAGTATTATACGTTGCTGAGAAGATGAGGAGCGGGACGGAACAGGAGCAAGGGGATGAATTAGTAGATGTGACCGTTTCGGCCAATAATAATACTCCCTCTGTCCCATAATAATAGTAGCAGTTGATGAATTTAATTTGTCCCATAATAATAGTAGCAGAAGAAAATAAATATAGAACGCAACATTTATTATCAAAAAACTAGATTAAATTAAACAATAAATTAAAAATATTTCTCCTAATTTTTATTTCGAGTGTTCAGATAGTTTCTGGATTTTTCAATAATTTCGTTACTGCATTTTAAACTTGTAGGTAGGATCCCTTGGCTGCGAAGCTTTGCTTTCCCTATATGCGTGAGCCTAAAATTATTGGAGCCATCGATCTCAATCGCAACTCGATCTTTGCTTGAAAACTCTCTTACTTTTACAATGGGTTGATATTCAGCTGAAATAAAACAATTGATTTCGATCAGCGGATGAAATTAGAAAAATAGGTATAATTCGTAATAATTAGGTTAACCTAAAAATTGAAAGATGTGTCAAAACGAATGACAGATGTCATGGAACATTGACTTTGATTGAAGGCTTCGCAATTTTGCGCTACAACATAACTTACAGCTGCATTCGCAAATAATTCTCGTTTAAATATTCACTTGCTACTATTATTATAGGACAGAGGGAGTATTAGATTTTGAATAGTTTATTTATTAGCAGAGTTAACATTTAATCGCACGAACTGCGAACGGGACAAAGGAATAGAACAAAAACCGATCGCTCAGAGACACACATAACCCAGCCACAGTCGATCACACGAAAAGCACGCGAGAATGCCTAAGGCTAACCGAAACGAATAATCGAAATCATGGCGGTCTAAATATCTTTTTCGAATAAATAAAAATGCGTGTGATCCGACTTTGAGTGTGTCCGCTACGCGACCAACGAGACTCGCATTCCTTCCGTTTGTCATCTTTTCAGTAACGCACGGTACGTAGGATAATGGCTTCATGACGTGGGTAGACGTTAATCTGCTATTTTTAAGTGTTTCAATTTTCCTGTAGGAAAACATTTTTAATTAAATTTGCCTTTTAACCCTTTAACCTTAACAAGTGTCAGACTCGTAGCAGAGAATTCGTAAGACTGAGGATTACCAAATGTAATTAACCTGTAACAGATTAGCTTTTGTTACCTGATACAGTAGTTGGATTCCGGGTGATGGAACGTGTACAATACTTTAGCAAGAGGTTTATTCAAGAGTCTAAACGCGTTGTGAATCGTACAAAGATATGGAAAATAACGAGCCTCGGCGTTTTTGAGGTTGTTATATTTATAGGGATTGGAAAAGGACGCGGAAGAGACTAGAGAGGGGCTGAGGTAAAAGGTCTAGGAAAGTGGCAAAGGTTCTAGGTGACTAAGAACTAACTGCAAAATATTTGGAAGAAATGAGTGTTTGCGATGCGCTGGCGTTAACCGAAGATACCAACGCGATCGGCTAGCATCCATGAGTCATGTCGGTAGATTGGTATCCAACGATGGCTCACGCTTAGATACATAAGCAGAAAGGAAATTATAGGTTAAAGGGTTAACCGAGGTCGAGGCTCAGAAGGTGTTTTATAGACGCAGAAACTCTACGCTTCTGCGGACTGCACGTCCTTCCGGTGCCCACTCGTGAACACTAAACAGCAATTGACGTGTCGTAAAGCAACTAAAGGACACGCAATCACGAGTCCTGTTAAGATCTCATACACCTTGGGCCTGATTCTCCCGTCACTATTCATACCACCACCCTGCCAACTTGGAAATTCCAGGGTGGGCGGTATGCTTACGGCCAACTAGTTTCGCAATTTGCCAAAGTTGATAACACCCAAACTCTCGAATAATTTATAGATTAAGAAGAATTGTACATAGTTGGTCATTAACCAAATAGTATCCTAAGTGAGATTTTGCGACAAGAATAGCGCCCCTTGCGTGATAAGAACCTTAGAATTAACTAGCTAATCGTGTTTAACAGTAAATTTGCGAAATATAGACAATCAAGGTATTTGCTAAGGATACTTAAGTTTAGACCAGATTTACGATACGGACGCGATTCTCTGCTATTTTTGAGATTAAGGTTTGAGTACGCGTTTAATGTTTCGTTCGACAATTTTTCCTTATTGTCAGGAGGGCTTATTGTTCTTCGTGCATCTTAATAGCAATTTAACCCCGCGGGAGCCGAGGCACATTCTCGCGAGCGAGCGGTACCGTTACCTTGGGTTTCTCCCATAAGCCCAGGTGACGCGTACCTCACGCAAAACATCCCCTCCCTGAGGGTGAGCGGTTGGCGTTGGGCGTTAACCAAAGCCCTAACTTCATCAGGAGTCTTGGTCTCCCACCCAAAACTCACCCCCGTCAAGGGACCCAAATGCAACATTTGGAAGGGGAAATGCGAGGCAAAGATTAAACGAAATCACGAGAACAAATTCAGAAGTAAAGACAAAAAGTTCAGGCGATCAAACAGTCGCTACATAATTCATTAATTCTAGACGACGTGTCAGAATTAAAACAGTATTCAAAAATACCACTTTTATTCGCGGTAGCTACAATAAATTCCGCGTGTGATCGAACAGCGGGAAATTTCGTTGTTGCAGAGTTCAGAGAAGCTTTCAAGCTGTTCGACAAGGACGGAGACGGAAGTATCACAAAGGAGGAACTTGGAAGGGTGATGCGTTCGCTTGGACAGTTCGCGAGGGCTGAAGAGCTGCGCACGATGCTGCAGGAGATTGACATAGACGGTGAGTTCTCCTCGAATTATCGAAATACGTTTTGATAAACATTTAATCGAAGTGAGTAAGTAGGTTGGCCCTGAAATTGACTCGGGAATACGAGGACAATAGAAAACAAAAGGTGGTAGTAACAGAGTGGACAAAGTGTCCCGGAAACCGCGATCGGACGTGGCGTTAATCGAAAATTTCCCATTAATATTCAACGGTCCCTGTTAAAACGATTCCGCACACAGGGGTAGTTCGTTAAAATTCGCGACGGTGTTTCGCGACCGCGCGGTTAAATTCATTGTACGATCGTATAAAGTGCACAACTCGAACTCGTAAATCGTCCCGTGTTACTTCACCAACGTCCACCGAGTACACCCTCCGCGCCATTGTAGATTCGCGAAACAAGGTGGCCAAGAGATAGCCGCGCCTCGAGGAATCCAGAAGTTTGCCATTCGTCCGTGTAACCACGTTGGCCCACTTACAACCTTTCTACCTCGACAGCATCGCCTTAATCGCGGGTAATTTTCACGAAGTGTTCGCCCGCCTGACAATGGTCGAGGACGTTCGCGTGCGGAACCTCTTTATTAAGCCAGATCCACTCTTCCGCCACGAACCTTTTCTCTCTCGGACCTTCCAACGTACCATTCTCGCTCGACCATACTGTCTGTTTCGTTCGCTTGTTTCGAAATTCTCCGCTGAACTCTGATGGCTGAACGAAACTTCCTATTGTCTCGACGCCTAATCACTGGGATTTACTGCAACTTAACGACGTCGCAGAGGTTGAAGTCTTCTTAAGAAATTCTCCGACCTAAGAAAAGTCGACATTTTCGTGGAACTATAATTACGGGTAAACAATTATACTGGGATGTTTAATTGGGGAAAAAATTCTTTCGACAAATAGAATTTGTAATAGTAGTTACTCTATCTGTGGACGTGAATCCTTCGACCCTTTCGCTGCGGCAGACTTTAGTGCGTGACACGCGTGGCAAACGGTGGCTGTAATATCTTTCGTTTAGGTCTAGTTTGCAGAAAAGTTTAAAATTCCAATTTTTAAATTTACCATTTTAACACATTCGCGTCGGGACGTTTGGAGTCGCACTTAACGTGGATGCAGGGTGATCCAATCGTGGTACGTTGGAAAGAAACTACTGTAACTAATGAATATTTTCCAAAGAAATTTTATTTCATCCGTGAAACATCTGTTGTGGCATTTCTGAAGAGAAATTGAACCATTTATGGCGTTTTATAAATATATTTTGGGACAGACGAAAATAAGCATATCTGCGTCATCCGACGCCAATGTGTTAAAAATTAAGGTGGAAGTACGTAAAGGTAAAAAAGGAAGGATTAACTTCCCGCCAAGGGCACGGTGCAAGCACATTTTCAAAAAGTCACTAAAAAGACGCTAGCAGCACTGAAAGGGTTAATTAACCAAACAATCACCCTTTCAAGCACTCAAGATCCCGAACAAAGAAATACGTTCACCTAGCAGGAAGTTGTACTTTTCCCCGCGATACACAGAGGGTGCATATAAAAGTATCGGTACCTGTTGCTGATTCCTCGACCGTGAAGGAAGCAATCTCTTTTACTGCGATAGAAAAGCTATCGTCGATTCTCCGTTTTACGATCACCATCTGTTATGCTTCATATCGCGCCGGAAGTACGGATCTAAGGGATCTTCGGTTAGAAATATCGGCGAAGTAGGAGGTTTCTCGCGCGTAGGCGTGTTTATCCGAAGTGAAATCCTTTGGCGAAATTATAGATACGTCGAAACAAACGTCATATCGGCTGGTTCGTCGTGACGAATCCGAGATAGCTGTCGTCGTGAATCGCGCGACTCGTGTTTACCGCGCGTAAAATTCTCCCTCTCTATGTGCGTCTGTCGCGGCGAGATACATACGTGCTCGGTTGTACTAGGGCGAAACGTGTACTCTCGTCGAAAGGTAGGAGATCGGGTTGACAGGATTTTTATTAATTTCACGAACCGTTGGAAATAACGAAACGCACGCACACCCGCTCGCGTTACACGAATATCGGAGGCTCTCGTTGTTTAACTTAGCCACGATCGGTGGATTTTGTAATAGCCGCGCTATAAAATCCCCTTATTTGCCTTTCAAATATTTTCATTTCTCTTCGAAATCCTGATTGCCGGTAGCCCCCGGTTTCATCCGAACTTCTCTGTTTGCTTGCAGTCAGTAAGACTTCTTTACCTTGTTTCCTTATGGTTTGCTTACCCGTCGCGGACTACTTTCAGTAGTTCGCCACTTTTTAGCCGTTCCTTCTGTCACTCTCCGAAGCGCGCCGTGATTACTAGTTAGACTTTGCCGTTGAAAAATACTTCAACTCGTTCCCGGGGAATCGGACGCGCGGCAGCAACGACTAATTGGATACCATGTTCTCGTGTCAAATAGTTAAACCTCTACTTTATGAAGGAAGAAATACTACCCGGGAAAGCTGTTATTTTGTACGTGTTTCTTTTTTTTACCTGGGTTTGTTTAAATACCATTCAACCGGTCCATTTGTTGTACGTGTTCTACGTTGCGTGGCTTTCGGTTTCGGTGAATGGGTATTGTAGGGTTTGGTGGTTTCCGTGATCGAGACTAGACAGGTGTAAATTAATTTTCTGTAGGCAAACACATTTTTTCACACTCTTAGGCAAACTGTTTCAAGCTTTTAAAAACTCTGAAAAATTTCTGGAATACTTATAGAAATCTCTAATTTAAGTCAAATGTTTAAAACCGTTGGCAGTAAAAATAAAAATTCGTTTCGAAGAAATACGGGAGTGAAATTTCTCTTGGGTTGTAAATCACCCAGATTGCCTACGAAGGGTTAAAATAAAACATAGTTAACAGCAAATAGAACGGTACAGCTAAATTTTATGTAACTTTACACAAGACTATACTACTACCTCTTATCGACTATGTACTTTGATCTTTGCACAGTGACTTCGTGCACGCATTTTCAAGTTCTTTTATTCTTCCACTCACGCTTTCTCTCTCTCTCTCTGTCTCTGTTACTGTGTATTTTCTTCTCGTTCTACGCAGACATTTCTCACAGACATTTAATCACGTCCAATCAAATCCTTGGGTGGCCACGCACCCTTCGTTCACACGATACTCTCAAGTATAGTCTACGGAAGAAATATCGCGAGGTCGCAGAGTACCTGCTATCACTGTTGTACGAACCTCCAAAAATTCAGGACTTAGACCTTCTATACTTAATTAGAAACCCTTAAATTTACAATACCATCTTGTAAGCGATATGGCTGGGTGAGTCATGGCGAGAGGGAGACGCGACCAATCGTCGTTTTAGAAAAGGACACAGTGGAATCGTCGCCACGACGTAAAAAAGAACGTAGCGTCACCGCGAGGGAGGGGAGCGTGCGAACGGGACCCGGAAATAAGGAACGAGACGAGGCATTCTTAAGGAGAGCCTGAAGGGATAAAGATATATGTATATACAGGGTGTCCCGTAACTCCTCGAACACCCGGAAATGGGGGGTTGCTGGGGTGACTCTGAACAAAATTTTCCTTTACCAAAATGTTGTTTGAAGCTTCGTTTTTGAATTATTAACGAAAACCACTGGCCAATCGGAGCGCGCGCAGAGCTCGCGCTCAGGGACGAAGAACAGAGGCACACCCGCACGCGATCGAACAATGCGTACGCGTTATAAACGACCTTCGCTATTTTCTTCACGATTTCGACTAATTGCAGTTTTTTCAAAAATTTATACAAATGTCGGAATGACGGCAAAAACCAATTTCTCTAAGCCTTATAAAAATAGCGGTGCAAAGTGAAATTTTTTTGACAGAGATCGATAACCGAGAAGTCACGCGTACGCGTCGTTCGCGATAGCGCGCTGGTGAATCTCTGTTCGCTCGTCCCTGAGCGCGGGCTCTGAGCGCGCTCTGATTGGCCAGTGGTTTTCGTTAATAATTCAAAAACGAAGCTTCAAACAACATTTTGGTAAAGGAAAAAGTTGTTCAGAGTCACTTCAGGAACCCCCCATTTCCGGGTGTTCGAGGAGTTACGGAACACCCTGTATATAAGAGTTTCAGTTTATTTCACCATTCCACACCTTCAATAACCCCCCTCTTAAAATCCGTAGTATCGAGGCCTCCATACCCAAATAGGAAACCGACAAGACAAAATAGAGAGGGAGTAGTTGGCGTAATGAGCAAAGCTTCGGCCTGCCAAACCGAAGGTCCCGGGTTCGATTCCCGGTTGGGATCCTCAAAATTTTTTCTGTCAATTTCTACATCTATCCCTCAAATCCACCGTTTCACTAAATTCCCACCTCGAATCCCACACCACAAACAAAAGGACGTCACCGAAAAACACAAACCCTCTCCAATTCTACATCCGCGAAAATCTACCTGTTTCGCGCCACGGCCCCGGCGGGACCGCTTCGAATTTCGATATTAGAACTTCGTCGGTGCACGAGTAATTAGAAGTGGGTTGCTAGCGAGGGTAGAACGAGGAGAGAGACGCCTACGTAATCGGGCCTGGTTTCGCTATGATGCACTCGTCTCGATGAATAACGTGTCTATGTGTTGCATCTATATACCATCGAATAAAAAATAGAAAAAAAGAGAGGCTCACGTGTACCTATACACACAGAGCACGTCACGCTGGGACAAAACGCGAAGAGAGAAAAGCGTTGGCGGGGTAAAAAAATATCACGAGAGATAGAGGCGACATGGGGTTGGTTCATAGAAAACTTTTCGATACGACATCATTGGAATGCATCTACTTCACTCTTCGGCCGAGGGGGAATTGGCCGTCGTGACTACTTGGTCTGCTTGAGTAGCACATTCGTATGTAAGCCACATTGCGGCGTGTGACACGCGCGTGTGTAGGTCGTCGACGTCGCGCTACGCCGAATGTCAATCGAACGGCGTTACGTCCTGGTATTTACGCGCAGGAAGTTCGAATCTGGTAAAAGCCAGCCAGCCAGAGAGAGAGTCCACGGTATATAACTTGGAGACGCGACACGGTTCACCGAGATCGTTATTCATTGA